CCCGGCCAGTCAGCCCCTCATCGGTCCTGCTATTCAGCCCGCCACCAGGTCCACACCCATCTCCTCTGCCGGCTATACATGTCTCTGCACTGCCGGCGCTGTCAGTCATCATGCTATGGGGGTGTTTTTCAGCTGCAGGGACAGGACGACTGGTTGCAATCGAGGGAAGGGTGAATGGGGCCAGGTACAGGGATATCCTGGACGAAAACCTTCTCCAGAGTGCTCAGAACCTCATACTGGGCCGAAGGTTCACCTTCCAACGAGACAATGACCCTAAGCACACAGCTAAAATAACGAAGGAGCGGCTTCACAATAACTCCGTGACTGTTCTTGAATGGTCCAGCCAGAGCCCTGACTTAAACCCAATTGAGCATCTCTAGAGAGACCTGAAAATGGCTGGCCACCCACGTTTGCCATCCAACCTGACAGAACTGGAGAGGATCTGCAAGGAGGAATGGCAGAGGATCCCCAAATGCAGGTGTGAAAAACTTGTTGCATCATTCCCAAAAAGACTCATGGCTGTATTAGCTCAAAAGGGTGCTTCTACTAAATACTGAGCAAAGGGTCTGAATACTTATGACCATGTGATATTTCAGTTTTTCTTTTTTAATAAATCTGCAAAAATGTCAAACATTCTGTGTTTTTCTGTCAATATGGGGTGCTGTGTGTACATTGAGGAATAAAATGAACTTAAATGATTTGAGCATATGGCTGCAATATAACAAAGAGTGAAAAATTTAAGGGGGTCTGAATACTTTCCGTACCCACTGTACAAGTATCCTGTAATACAGGAAAGAAATGAGACAGGGAGACGTGTTTCCTCTCTTCGATGTTCTCCGCCATTATTTATTCACAATCATCAGTTCACTGAACACGATGCATTGTCCCTTTTTTTTCAGTATCACAACTACTGTACTTTAGCTGCATCTTTATACAGGTTTCTTGGCTTTACATAGCCACACAAGTCAATACAAACAGTACAACTTCAGGTCACTAATTGGTCCAAAACTGTTTCTCTACGGTTAACTCTTTGAGTATAGTTTGACTATAATTGCACTCTCAGTGCACCAACATAAATTTACTATCTAGCAAGACTCATAAGCAATTGTGTCAGTAACCAAATCATTGAAAAAAAAAAACCACCTTCTAGCAAGTTAACAGAACAGGCTAAACAGGGAGCCAGATGACCTGTAAACTTAATGTGACCGGGCCAATATACAGGCCTAGGCAACTCAGACCGTAGTAACTTTAGTAGTTCTCCAAGAATAACACCCCTCCTGTTTTCAGAGGTCAAACTCATGCAAACTTCCCCAGTACTGAGCTGCTACCCCCAGATAGATCTACAAACACGGAGACACTGGAGTTACTCACACAGATAAAACTTTATTTGAGTCAAAGTATAGTTTAACAATGAAAATGTTTTAAGAAACCTAACCCCAGAAGCTAAAATGCTACCTATAAGAAGTTTCCCCCCACTCAATAAATACAGTGCAGAACAGGAATAAAATGGTCAGAGTCAACAGGTTAAAAGGCACCATTAAATAAACACCACAAATCAATTAATCATGCATCAACCAAATACAAGAGGGCCTTGCCTCCCTGTGCATAAAACCATTCACACACTGTTCACACCATAAAATTGACTAAACCCTATTTGAAACAATACAATAAATAGGGAACATAATACTAGGTAACCCTCTTAACATAAAAGCAAACAAGGCAAAACTTTGCATAAGCAAAGCAGCAGTGGCTATCACCCCTTGGCTGGACGTCACCCTAGCACAGCATGTGCAATGGACACAAACTTCTACTGGATCACGCTCGCATCAGTTATTGCTCCTGGTGAGCATGCGGCAATCTCCTAAAAACAGTCTTAAAGGAGAAGCAGGACACAGCTCGATGGAGGGAGATTCACTTTAGACCGGTTACGGCAGCAACCAGCACAGAAATTGCTTATCGCAACAGCATCTCCTCAGGTGTTATTTATACCCATGATTATTCTGACAAATTACCAACCAGGCGGTGTAGACGTGGCCAACCCGCCGGTTACATCAAGAGGAGACGTGTGGCCCACTTAGTATCTTGTAGCTAGCATGTTACTTAAGACAATGATCGAGTGTACCACTGCCATTACTATTGCTCTTGGTGGGCATTAGCTTACTTTCCACGAATACACTGTTAGGTATTTTTAGTCAGATAGATATTGGTTAGATACTTTATGTATTAGAAATGTTTAGAGTAGACAGGGTGTCTGGCTCATGGCTGTTAAATGCTTAGTCATTCTCATGAGTGGCTGGAGGGGGGTTTTGGGTCAGGGTAACTAGATAGCTCATTTCCACAGTGTGTTACACTGGCCAAAGCACTTTACAGAGATGATACACCATTCACACACCGATGACGACAGCTGCCACACAACGGCGCTAATCAAGCCACCGGGAGCAATTCGGGGTTTAATGTCTTGCTCAGGGACACTTAGGCATGCGGGGAGACCGGGAGTCGAACCACCAACTTGCTGGTCAGGAGACAACTGCCCTACCTCGTGAGCCACAGCTACAGACTACAGATACAATACTGTATATTGGCATTTCAAGGGTACCAAAACATCTCTTCAAGGGAGGATAGAACAACTGTTACATGTTTTATATCAAAGTAAAATACACATTCATACAAATGTGGGCACACATTGGTGGGCACCACAATAACAATAATACACAGCTTTATGTAAATTCTACCTAAAATCAGATCCAGATGAGACTAGCCAAGCTATAACGCCAATCTCAGGCAGGTGATTTTAATGTTGTGGCTTATCGGTGTATTATTTCTGTTTGTTTGCAGTCTCTGTTTTGTGGCTCACTGTGTCACTTTTACCTTTTACATAAAGTCAGTTACCTAATTAAAATAAATGTCTAAGAAATTGGTTCTGAATTAGACTGTTATAAGTTATAAGCATTAACTTCAGGGAATATTTCTCTATTGCTTGATTTATCATTTATAGCCATTTTACATTTTTGTATATTTCATGTAAAAATTTGCAAAGTGCCTCAAACTGACCTATTTAAAGCAGAGATACTCTAAAACTATATAAATGTCAGGCATAAAGTTGTGCAATATTCAGACTAATAGGGCAAGCAGCTGCAAGGTTCAGCACCATGGCATACAGTATTTTCTGCCCATCTGCAGAGAAATCTTTTACACTTTTACACACGATTCCTGTTTCTGAATGGTTTATTATAATATGACAGTCATTCACACTCCCTTTGCTCTTCACAGCTACAGTCAGGACAAACTACATCAAAACAGCCAGCAGCAAATCAGTGTTTTTGTCAAGTGTAGCCTTGACATTTTATCAAAACTGTCTACAGTGAACTAGAAAGCCAGAAAAACAATAAAAACATCCACACCAATCAAAAGGAGCTACATTTTTCATTCTCCAAATGCCCATATTTATTATGCAGTATATCTTTGTGTTTTATTGCTAAAGCATTCTTGTGTGGTAGCTAGCCTTTGGTGATCTGTGTGTATTTATGTTAAGATACCTGGTGAATATGCCACACCAGATATGATAATTCTACATGTCTACAGGTGTCACTTACACATACTTTATGCACCCATTTGAAATTTTATATGCATATGTGTTTTCAGTGCATAGCCATGAATATCTTTGACTGCCTGTCTCTTCCACTGTGTCTGTGAAGTATTCATCTATGTACTGTTTGCACTGGAGTCCCATAAGAACATATTAGATTTTCAAAGTTATATAATTCCAAACCTGACAACTGTGAAGCCCTTCTTCTCTGACTGCAGAAGGATGGATGGATGAAACCACTGTAGGAGTTCTAGTTTTCAGTCTGTGCACTGCCTGACTTTGCTACACAGTGGCTCTTCTCTGTTTTTTGTAGGCAGTATATATGCGAGTACATTTGGTAGATTTCATTATTATTATTATTTTGTCTGCTATATAAATAATTCCGTTTTTAAAGTAATGAACTTAAAGAAAGAAACACCAAAGCATAGATGAAAGTTCGATGCACAGCATATTCATGGTCATACACTTAGCTGGTTCATGGCTGGAACTGTAATGCATGTTACTATGAGCAGTGTTAGCTGGAGATGCAAGGACAGGATGCATTTAAATTAGTTCAGTTCCAACTGTGCAGTGCCTGCGATGTCAGAGTAACTTACTTTGAAGGGTTTATGTGAGAAGGTTTTTGCCATACAGCTGAGCATCAGCACAGATGCTCTCCTCAAAGGTTCCGTCCCACTTCTAACCACCTGCACCAGTATGTGCACACACTTACCTGAAAAATACGCACATTATGTGTTTGTCTGCAACTCGACTACAAATGCATTGAAAGCTCAAGAGCCAGCAATAAAATGATCCTAACTATCAGTGTTTGTGTATCCAAAGCCTGATATACTTTAACTAATTACTATGTGCCATTGAGCTCCATTGTTGTCCATAAATTATTAAAAAAAACACCACTGCAGTGAGTGACATGTTCCTTTATACAGACTGACTGTCATTAGCTGCGTCCTGCTGCCATAAATGCTCAATAATACACCAAATCTCTAGCTGAAACTGGTCCCTAATGAATGAACTATTTTAGTCTTTTTTTAGTCACATATGCAAAGAACTACAGTGCTCAGCTGTTTTAGGAAGTGATTCAGTCTTTTACTAAAATAGATTTCAGTAGGGACCAGAATGTTCTAAACTCTACCTCTTCTGCAAGTTACAATAAAACAAGTAAATGTTACAAATAACAGCTGTAGCCATGAAGTCTTCCCTTTCCAAATGTGATTTAACAAATGAGAAGAATCTTCCAACTGATTTAGGAGGCACCATGTTGGTTGATAACTAAGAAAGCTTGTTTGTACTAGGTGAAGATGCAAAGGCACATGGCTCAAATGTCATTTAGCATGAAACCAGATACAGATCACATTCTAATACCATGTGTAAACTAAGCCAAAAGGTTTATAGTGGTCATAGCACACAGACACAAACAGGCAACAGGAAAGGAAGCTGATAAGGCAAAGTGCACAACAGACAATCTGGCAAGGAACTGACAAAAAGTTTCTGGTATATATGCTGGACAACTGATTAGAGGACTAGGAACAGATGCACAGGACAAAGTAATATTAAGAACTGATGACACATCATATCAGTCCGATTGCTTGTTGTGTTCTCTCACCTGACTGTTCAGCTCTGAAGAACTGCAGTGCGAAGACATTACCAAACAATAGAATACCAAATGTGTGTTAATTTAGGTACAAAAACAAGTCATGAAGCAGGCCAGGCTAAAGTGGACCTGGAGGAACAGTACGGAGGGGTCTGTGGAAGAAAGATTTCTCTCCTGAAAGTGATCACTGAACTGAAAAACCTTGAACCAAATTCATAAATAATGATAGTATCTTTTCTGATGTTCTATGGAATTCAAACTACTGAAAAAAGCTGAGAAGTGCTGCCATTTATGTGTGATGGTGATACAAGCTGTAGCTTATTAGATGAGGCTTACACAGAAAAACTGAAATGCTTTGGGGAGACCAGTCATTCTGTATCATTTAGGGATTCTTGTATGACCTTTTCAAAAACTCTCCTGGCTGTTTTAAATTCAGGGGTTTGACCTGATGAAGGCTGGCATGCATAATCTATGACATTGACCTCATCACAGAGTTCCTTTCCTGCTTCCTGGGGAATAGATTTTGTATCCCTCGTGTAAGATGGGTTTCTCAGTCACAGACAAGGGTGCTACTGTTCTGCTCTGCTGCAGCTTTCAAGCTCCCTGTCTCACTTTTTCTCCTTCCTGAATTCTCTTTCTGGCTGTCTGCATATACTCTGTCCACTCATTCTGTCTCTTTGACTGTGTTGTATCACTCATGTGTATATATTTCCTCACTAAGCCATGCTTCTTCTTCTCTGTCTTTGCTTTTAACCTTTTTCATAAAACTCCATGCTCCACCCTTAAACCTTTCTGTCTTCATTTTGACCTACCAGCATTCCACTTAGACTCTGTTGCCCCAGTGTGTCATTTATCACTCAGCCATCTGTTTCGTCTATCTTTTTTTTGCCTCATAGCTCTCAACACAGACCTTTTCCACCTCCTTATTGCTCTGTCTTTTTCAAAAGCCATCTTTATGTAAAACAATTCACAAAAAATTAAGTGAGGTAACACTTTCATTTTGAATGAATGACTTCACAACATAGAAATGTTTCTCCATGTTTACAGTACTTACAGTACTGTAGGTGCCTCTTCAGTGACTGGCTGTAAACATGGGTTTTTCCTCATCTTATTACTGATTTCATGTTGCCAAATTAAGTTCTCTTTACCTTTGTAAGCCATACTGGACCTCATTTATTTCTTGTATCCCTTCTTTCACCTATCCCTAGGCTCACGTCCCCGTGACTGTGGTGATTTGTATGCCAGTGGTCAGAGAGAGGATGGCATCTACTCTGTGTTTCCTGTTCACCACCCTGCAGGCTTCCAGGTCTACTGTGACATGACCACGGACGGAGGTGGCTGGACGGTGAGTCAGATGAAAACACACACGTATTACAGTGAAGACACACGCACACACACACAAAGCTTGTAAGCTTCTTCATGAACTAACAAAATAGAAGCATTCATTCAGCTGCTACATTTTCATCAGGGTTATATTAAAAATGACAATGAAAAGAAGCCAGTGGAAGGGAACTGAATGGCTTTTTATTATGTCTGCTTTTAAAAACCTGCTATTATTTACTAAATGCACCCCAAAATAAGAGTGATTCACTGAACATGAATCTTTCTCAGTGCAACAATGGTGCCATTCAAATAAGGGTCATCCAGTATGTGAGGTGCTATACTGCCTGTCTGAGCACCAAGGCAAGACAAAGCAGCCTTATTTATGTAGCATACTTCATACACAAAAGCAGTTCAAAGTGCTTTACATAGGCAGTTGTAAGTTGCCCTGAATGCAACAGATGAAACAAAAGTGCAGCAGAGAAACCGGTCAATCAAAGATGCAGGAAAACAGCAGAATTTTCAGTTTAGACTTGGAAGTGGTGGAGTTGGGGCACATTTAAGGTCATCGGGAAGCTGGTTCCATCTGTGTGCAGCATGGTAGCTAAAAGCGGCATCACCCTGTTTGGTTTAGAATTAATTTCTGTAAATATCATCTGGACATGAGACCTCTGAGTCTTGCTGTTTGTTTGTGATGATAAAATGCAGATTTAGTTATGGCCTTGATGCAGCTGGTGAAGCTCAGGCCTGCATCTATTATGACACCAAGATTTCTAACTTGATTTTTTTTTTCTTTATAGCTCTAGAATCAAAATGAGCAATAACTTCCATCCTTCTTGTTGCCAAAACAATAACTTCATTCTTGTCATTATTTAACTGAAGGAAATTTAATTGCACTCAAAACCATAGGGACTATAGTCACTTGGTAACAGAGCTGAATAAATCTGAGTGTCATCTGCATAACCATGATAGGCAATGTTAGTGCCATCTACGATGAAACCTAGAGGGGCCATGTATAGGTTGAATAGCAGTGGTCCAAGCTGTGGCCACCAGCTGTGGTCACAGTGGTCACAGTTGTTGTGACTGATGTATCAATCAGAAAAGGTTTCATTAAAACTTTATCACAGAAGAACAAGGAGATCCTAAGTTGAACATTTCCAAAACAATGAATTGTTTTTTGTTTTGTTTTTCATTTAGAAAACAGAATACTAATTACTCATACATGACAGTGTGAGCAGGTAGAGTGCTGAAAGCAAAATGAGTAAAGGGAGACATTAAACCAGAGCATCCTGAGACACAACAAAACTGAAATATAGTCAGCGATTCACGATAATACGCTCTGTTTAGTGGGCTAAGGAAATGGTGCCATAATAATAAGGTGGTGACGGTGGTTACTGTGACAACTGATCACATAACAAAGTTAGATTATGTAAATCTAATATATGCACTGGTGCCAAAATGTCCTACCTGTTATGAAAGGTGGGATGACTTACAGTACAATATAAGCCAGACAAAACACGCAGCCAGCTCATAAAACACTGCTTCAACTTTTCGGGTGTAATTTGTCATTGTGCTTCAAACTCACGAAAAGAAACGGTTTCCATTCTAGTAAATGAATGTCTGACCTGTTTATAAATCTTGTTATTGTCTTTGTATACTAATATGTTGGGAGGATTTTGTAGTCTGTAAAGGTAACAGACAGAGATATTTAGAGTTTCTCTTAGTGTGTCTGTTTGCTTGATCAAACATCTGTCAGCTGTCTGGCCTTGCTGAGTTGTTTAAGTGAGACTGTGTACTGGAAATGCTCTGTCTTTTGGGAATGAAAGACAGTGAGGTGAACAAATACTGACACAGAGCTGTTTGATGTTATATTTGGAAGGGTGGTTTAGATGTATTATAGTGTGTGCACATCGTCTTACTGGTTAGAGCCATTTATTTCCCTTTGTACTGAAGTGTACTGTAGCAGTCCTCAGGGACAGCAGAGCAGTTCTTAGCACAGAATTAAGACCCTAACTAAAACTTAGAGTGTGAAATTTCATCTACATACAGTACATGACTTCCTCACAACTTTTTTTCAGGATGTGACACGTTTTAGTAAAGCATCCAAGGGCAGATTTTGGAATCGGTCCAAAACTATTCAGGGATTGATTTGAAAAATCTATACAGTTAAGTGTTAGGGAAATCATTTCAGTTTCTTTCAGGCTGCATAAAAAATATCCCGTAAGGGAATAAATATATGAACTGCAATTAGTTACAAAATCAAACCTGCTATCTTCTTTCAGTTTGTGGGTATGTTGTCTTGTTGAAAACATCCATCCATCTATCCATCCATCCATTTTCCTCCGCTTGTTGAAAACATTTTGATGGATATTTTAAAACCTTTTCACAGGAACAGTTTACAGATTCCTATCCTAAATGTATGAACATGTTCGAGTTGTGAAAATTTCTCAATGATTTCAATAAGAATCATTTCTCAAAACAGCAAATAAATTAGCTAGCAGTCTTATGCTATCGTACAAACAAATGCAAATGTATTTTGTCTATAATCTGAACAACATACCACCCCCTCTGTCCTTAGACCTTCAAGTCAGATAAGGAAAACCCCTTTATCCTTCTTTCAGGACACACAAACATGCAACAGATATCAGGTGTACAGAATAAATCAACAAAATAAATGTACAGTATAGACAATGAGAATGTAAAGTTGTATATTGTAACATATTGATATAAATATAATTGTACTGTATATGAAGAAAATGAACCTGGAGGATGAGCGACCTTCCAGCAGACATTGGGAGGGTGGATGAACAAATGAACAGGAAATGAACAAAAGAAGGGGGACAATGACAAATAAGAGGCTGGGACTCTTGAAGGACAAGGATCCAGAAGAGGCACCAATACAGTGTGATTGTTCCTGCCTACTTTATAATGCATACCAAACTTTGACACAGGTCACTGTTCCATTGCCATGACTGTGAATAGGGTGCGAATGTGTGTGCAGCTGTAAATCAGTGACTAACTGTGGGAGATAGGCAAGGGTGTACACTCCTATCTTCAAATAAAGCGAAACGTCAGAGTGACAGACTGCTTAGCACAGCGTGATGGAATAGAGCTATGTACCAGCTTGTCACTGGGTAAATGCTTTTGTCTGCTTGTGTGTCTTGATGCATGAATTAATGTTGATGCCAATGTGTGTGCATCTACTCCGAAACAGCTTGGGAGTGCACATCAGGGTTTCCTAACCATTCTTTGCACATTGTCCTATAAAAGGATTTTCATAGCAGCTCAGATTGAGGTGATAATGTAACAGTTACTGATCCTGCCTGGTGTGATGAGCTGATTGTGATAACGCTTCAGCCTCATTAAGAGATCAGCTCTGTGTGATCCAACAGGGGCAGGTGGGGAGACAGGATACTTGGTGAGTTGAGTGGCTTACTGTCTGCCTGATGGCTGAGCTTAAATAAGGAATGAGCCATATGTTTCCACTCTTATTAGCATACTGACATTCCATAGCACTGTTACAGAGACTGCAGCAGACAGACTGAGAGATGAGCAGGTTACTTAGAACAGAGAGGAGAGTGAGACTCAAGCAAGACAAAGAAGGGGAAAACATCAGAATTTTATATGGAGAGAGAGAGAGGAAGTAAATGGTAAATGGTCATACTTGTAGAGCGCTTTTCTATGCACTGCAGCATGCTCAAAGCGCTTTCACACTATTTGGCCATTCACCCATTTGCACTCCCAAGCACTCACACATTCATGCACAAGTGAGACATACTGTACGGATGAAAAAAATTGCACTTGTTTTTTTTTTTTTACTATACTTTGAAATGCCTTAATCCAGATATAGCGTTTGATAAACTCTTCCATTCTATTGCATTTATCATAAAAAAAGTAGGCTTTAGAGAGTCTCAGGGATAAAGCACATGTCAAGTAATGGTGGCCAACAGACACTCTGGATTTACAGTAGATGTTGCTCAACTGTAGTGTCAGTCATAACCTTTAGGAGCATGGTTGTTTGTCTGTTCGTATGTCTACATCTTTGTACAGTACAGTTTCCAAGTTTACTAGAGCTCAGCAAGGTGATTTGTTTTACACGTGTGGGGATGTTAAATGTGGTTTACTATACAATTCAGTGTCAAGATACCCAACAAGGTTTGTTCAGGTTCTAAAAAGCATCACAGAAATCCATCAGAGGCCATTAGCTATTACAAAAGGAAATGCTGAAAAAAAATGATCAAAGAAGCTGTTTGCCACAAGGCTCTGCATAATGCACAAACAGTCCAAAACAACCCACACAGTCACCCACACACACCACCTAACTGTATGAATGAAAAATTAACATTTAAAAGATTTCATCTCAGTACAAAGCTGGTCAAGTAAGTCACTGTAGAAGCCTTTTTACCCAATTAGCTATATAATACATCTCTCAAATTACTCAGTTCAACCTCATCAACAGTATTTGTTGAATTACCTGTTTCCCCTAGGGTAAAAGAAAGGAACTGGCTGATTTAAGGAGGGTTAAAAAAAAACAACCTGTCGGGTTCTTCCATAGAGAGAGTAGGCAGCAAAGAATACAAGAGGAAAATGTATGGTTGAAGTAGATCTGAGGTGTAGGAGAGTGGAGGATTAAGAAAGGCAAATCTACAGTAATGAGTATAACCTTTGGTGCCCAGTTTCTATAATGCAAAATATGAGATGCATTCACTGAGCGGCCCTGACATTGGTGAAATCACATTAATATTCTTTTGGGGAATATGACTCATAGATCATATACAAATGCATGTCGGACTTTCTCTGTTTCATGTCAAGAAGCCAGACAAAAGTAAAAATAAACAAGAGGTTGCAATGGAGGAGTGTAAAAACTTTTGCTAGCTATAGCTACTGAGAACACGGTGTGAGATGTTTATTATAGATCCATGAACTGTGCCAGATCTCCTATTTGCCAGTAAAATGTGCATGCTTTATGAAGCTACACACTCCAACACAGGGAAAACAAATACAAAGCGTGTAGTAAAATATGAA